AACTCCCTCTATAACAACATTTGCTGCCACCGACTTCCAGCGCCTGCACGAGCGCCTATGTGATGTTTCACATTCCAAATAGTGTACGATCAACTTGAAAACACTAAGGTAAAAACTAGAATCGGCTACAACGCAAGGAAAAGAATCGAAAATCTGAAGAACATTAGCTCTCAAGCTCACGGAAAGGAGGATCCAGTGATCATTATCTTTGAGGACTGGAACAAAGATAATATCATATTCAAGCAGATCCACGTTTTTAGCCCATCTTTCCAGCCCGCCGTGCCCTTGAAGTTGCAGTTTACTGAACAAGAAAGAATTAAAGGTGAAGACTCGAAGGCCTGGCGGGATGTCACTTGTCCCATATGCGGTCGTTCCTAATAGCGCCATGTAGAAGTTGACGACCTCATCATTCACCCTGCCGTCCGTAAGTGAGAGGGTGAGAATATCCTTCGCTGCAATTCGCAATTGACCATCGTGGAGGGTCGAGAGTACAGTGTCAGGTGGCACAAAGCGTCGTTTAATGTCGTCCAAAACCCGCAAGCTTCCAATCGCAGTCACTGCTGTTCCAGGTGCCGTGGCCCGCACTGCACAACATCGAGCGAAGGACAGGGGGGAGAAGTGAGGAACGGAACACTAAGGATTCTCCTTCATCACACGACGAGAAGCTAAGTATTTCTATACATGGCCTGACCCCTAGTCACAGATCGTGGATATGTCCCTTTCTCTGGGGGCAGAAGGGAAAGACACTCCTCAATGGCAATGGCATGCTCCTTCTTCCCGATTTCGACATCAACCCCTGACGCCTTTAACATGTCCTTGTGTTTTGTCGTCAACCCTGGGACTGTATGCAATATGTGTTCCGGATATTTAGAGGGTCTCCGTGTTCGAGACGACCCTACCCCTGTACAACAGAAGAAAGACAAAACGGAAAGTGAATACACGTTTCCGAAGAAGAACCCGACAAAACGACAATTAAAGGACCACGAAATCTAAAAGACGCAGGACCCATGCAATTACAGAACCCCGTCATGCCATGAGAGTGCGAGAGAGAGAACTTCCGCACGAGCCACGTTGCAAAACAAAACGAGCAGTGCACTCGAGTTCGACACCCCCGCCCTTTAGAAGGGAAAAGCACATAAAGTCACAGAAACGGTAGGCAAACATCTCTGAAGTCTGAATCCCGGCGAACTTTTCCAACCAAGGGAGATGACCCAACCCCTGTGCAACCGAAGGAAGAGAAAACGAAAAATGAACTCACGCAATCCAAGATGAACCCGACGAAAACGAGAACTCAAGAACCACGAAATGTAGAAGACGCAGGACCTATCTATTTACAAAGTTCCGTTTAGCCATGAGAGAGATAGAGAATACTTCCGCGCAGGGCCTGCTGAAAAACAAAAGGAGCAGTGCGTTCGACCTCGATACCCCCGCCCTTCAGAAGGGATAACCTCAACAAGCCACAAACCCGGAGGCCAAACATTTGTGAAGTCAGGATCCCTGCGGACTTTTCCCAATCGAGGCACCAGAAGAGTAACCGCGTTACGCAGCGGCCTTGGCAGTGCGGATCCCGACGGACTAAAACCACCACTCATTCCGAAAGAGAAACACCATCCTTCCATTATGTGAGGGAACGCTTCAACAAAAACACACATGTTTTTGTCTCGTGCGCATTGACAGACACTGAGGTCACTGGCACGAAGACAGAGTGGCGTTTGTCACTGCTTACCAACTGGTTTGTCTCTTCGCTCCTTAATCGGCGAAGTTGGCGCGGGCAAGGCCAGCACGTCGAGAGCTCGAGTGTCGGCGGCAGTTTTTTTCGGGGATGTCACATCTTGTCGTCCCCCGATCCCGCCTTCTCCTCCGCTGGCGATGGTCGGCGGCAGCATCGGAGAGCTCGTCGGCGAGAGATGGACGACAGATCCCCCGGAAGGTTTGACGTCGAGAGGGTCGTCGCACCAGGCGTCGACAACGGCCGCGCGGACATGTGGTGGTCGCCCAGGATGCCGCCGATAACTTTTTTGATGTCAATATCCACACTCTGTTTAGTCAGGATGACTGCTACACGGGCTTCGTTGAACCGGTGTTGGAGATCGACGGCAGACGTCATTGCTTGGACCTCATAGTTATCACGTTCTGCCGTAAGGTTTGTGACCACCTGTGTCTCCATACCCGTGCCGTGTCATCGTCGTCGTCATCTTCCTCGCGGTGTTCTCTGTACAGCTGCCCGAATCCGTCAGAAGACTCCCCAGATCAGTCATCGTCGTCGCCGAAAGTCCGTTCGTCGTCTCCTGTATCGAGTTCACCTTTTTCCCCCTCCTGCCCTCCTAGCAACCCAGCCAACTCCGTTTCTTCCCCTTCCTCTCCTTCATCCTCTTCTTCCTCCCCTTCATCCAATCCTTCCTCCAATTCCTCCCCTGTGTCTCCTTCCTCCACTTCCTTCTCTTTGTCCATCACCCTGCCTTCTTCCACTGCATGCAATGCAGCCACTTCGCCTGAACCCGTGTCGATTTCCGATGAATGCGCTTCTCGCCCGCCGCACGCAGCCCCTCCCGCCTGCACCAATATCCCTGGTTGGCCCCCCTTGCCTGAAGATGTTCGGATCCCGGCGAACTTTGCCGAGTCCCTGTCGCTGGGCCCTCCACACACCTTGCATGAAGAAGTTCGGATCCTGGCGAACTTCGCCGTCTCCCTGTCGCCGGGCCCTCCACACGCCTTGCCTGGAGAAGTTCGGATCCCGGCGAACTTCGCCGTCTCCCTGTCGCCGGGCCCTCCACACGCACCCTCTCGCTCCGACCGAAGCGGTTGGCGATCCCCCGCACGCGGCGAAGTCCCGTCCCTCACCGCACCGCTGTCTATTTTGGGATGACGACTCGCCACCCCCGGTCCTGACCAGCTCTGCGCGTCCGTCCTCTCTGTCCGCTCTGCAAGCATTGAAGTTCGGATCTCGGCGGACTTGAACGTTTCGACCGAGCCGGCACGGAGAGCAACCAAGGCCGCCATCACGGAGCAGGCGGATGAACTGGGTACGTCCCCTGACTGTGCCGAGCATTCCGGGCCGGGACCGGTAGACTGCTGACGCCCGAGGGCCTCCCCTGCCACCCCGCCGCTGCCTTCCGCTGTCGTGGTGTCGCCCTGAGACCCGCCCTCATCCTCGTCGCCCTCTTGTTGTCGCCCCGGGACTCGTTTGCCGCCCCCGGCCTCGTCGCCCTCGTTCTCCCCACCGTCCGGTCCCCGGGACCTTGTACCTACATGCGTCCGACTGGGAGGGGGGAATTTCCAGTCCACCCTTCCTTTCGAGGGGCTCATGTCGAGGTCATAGTAGTCCTCCGTCAGCTCCAACCAGCACTTGTCATGAAGCTCAGCGAACAATCGCCTGGCTATGGAAATAACGGACACGTCTTCGGGTGCAAAAGAGCCATTCCCGGCCCTCACTTTTTGGAGGACCCGAATTCTAGCGACGTCGAGGAAGTCAGACTTCGACCCGTGAGGGAGTGCCATCCATCCTCCGTCCGGGACAGCGACCGCCATGATCCACTCACCCTTTTGGATCGCCGGCTGGATGACTCCTGGATGCCAAATCATGTCATGGCCCCAGTCCGCCTCCGTGGAACAACTTTGAGGCTCAGGCAGGAAGTGAATGTTGGCATTCGTCCAAGACAGATGATCGGGCGGGATGTCAGACCCGGGACGCAATGAGCGGTGGCCGGAGGCCAGAGCTTGCATTCTCTGCAGCAACTTCATCTTGGTAGTGCCAGGCGCCGGTTTCGCCATGACACGAGGGACGCAAGGCTTGTTGATAAGTTTTCAAAGTGTTGAAAATGCGCTTGTACATGAAAAATGTGCTTCCAATTGGTTGCTGCGCGGAATGCTGGTCGTACTGCAGGTCGAGGCTTTCGGTGTCGCTGCCCTCCTCGTCCGCGATGTCGAGCGCATCGGTCCGGCGCCGCACCAGGGCAGCGCGAGACCCTCCCGGCCGCGTCACGCAGGAGGTGGTTTTAAATCCTTTGTCGCAATATATATGGAGCTTCCTTAAGCCGCTCCGGCCGAGTGCGCCAGCCATACCTCTCGCGAGCCCCTACGACAGGATAGGGCCTACGCGAGGCACGACTTACGTACACCTTACGGGAAGTGTCACCTCCCTTCGGTGGGCGTATCCCTGCCGAGCTACCAACCCACAGTACGAAAGCTTATCAGTTGCAATCGCAGAGGTGGACCAGCCAAGGGCGTTTCTCGTTCGCTGTAGCATAGGGGGTACACGCGGTAATACGCCTCTATCGAACCCGCACGCGAATCGGCATCCTGGGGGGCTTAAAGTCTTAAGCGCGACCCGTCGTCGGTCGACCAGGACGCATCCCACACACCACGCGTACTCCACTTTACGAACACACATACACACAAAACAACACATATACGAAACGACACAACATAAACAACGCAACAACGCTCCTAGCCCATCGGTAGCCAACCCATAACTTTTCCAATGCGGAAATCGAATAGGCGTCGCGCGCGAGACTCAGAATAAAACCGCGCGGATGCAGGCTAACGCATATCGACTCGCAATGCAATTGTACGCAAGCAGTCGCAATAAAGGCGTACTACATGGTACACATTCTCACGCGGTCCCCGTTAATCGCGAGGGCCTCGTTCGACACTCAAGTATCGACTGACACACGCCTTGAGGGTTAATCTCTCGACGCTGGACAACCGCCATGCGCGGTTGAAAACCACACCCTCTTCTGCACCCTGTGCAGAGGGGTTGAGTAGACAGCTTTAAGCGCTCGTGGAGGTCGAACATCAAGGGGTTTGACCTTGACGGCTGCCACGGACTATAACATCCAACTATAAAAACTCCTTACGTGGGGTACCCTCCCTTTTTCGAGCGGCGTTGGCGGCCTATGACAATCTCAAACATTTGCCCATACGTGTCGGTCACTTTTGTATTCCCATAACTTTTTACACAATGGGGCGGTAAAACGTCCCACGCGGGATTTTAATATAAAGTTGCGCGGCCGAGAGCCTACCTCATACCAACCCGCAATGCAGGCGTACGCATGCAGTCGCGGCGATGGCGTACTATGTAGTGCCTATAATCAAACGGTCCCTCGTGGATCCGAGTACCGCTTATGACACTCAAGCGTCAGACTCGAAGTGTCGTGAGGGTCTAATCCTTCACGACATTKCACGRCTGAAGGAATARTCGTGCAGCCGCCACGAGACCTCCGACCTTTGGTCTGAGCGTCTCGATAGGCAAGGCAAATAGGCTCTGCGCAAGGGAAAACCCCTTCCCTGCAGAGCCTAGGGCTTGGGATGTCCTAGACAAGAACCTCGAATCCCGGTCCAGGATCAAACGTCCGACTAAGAAAATCATCAAARARCAARAAAAAAAAATAGGGGGAGAGGCTTTCCCTAAGYSCCTTAGCCTCAGCTTCWAAGTAGGATTTTTAGTATGGRGASTCYTCAACCCATGCAAACATYCMTCCCAAGTATACCCATGTTTACATATATAAGGGTTAAGTATATGACGATAACTTTTCATGGTCTCACTGGGGTCTCTCACAATAATACGTATATGTGTGATCGTAGGCAACCAAATCCWGAATCTGATTCACAACACATACCTGCAATCACATCAACAAACCAAATCAACAGCCCACACACTACACGGAGTCAACCCCAACCACCTTCGACATTTATACCCCCTTGCTTTARCCATGCAAGCCCCAAAACCTCCTGTCCAACCAACCTTAATTAAATACTCAGCACCTTTGTTAAATGGCCATTCAATAAAAGTCWAGGTGAAACCTTAATAAAACAACGAAATCACCAGGGCTAAAGCCTTTTAGGTTGAGTGTGRAGGGAGAGTTGAAATTGAGTCGTAGAGCGACGAATCGGCAACCGACCTGTTATCAGTGATAACAGAAAGTGATCCTCAAAAGGATCAAGCTGGATCTAGCCCTGAACTTGAATCAAATGATCAAAAAGGCCTGTAACACACGGCAGACCAATCCCCAAGCTAAGATCATAAGTGTATGGAGACTACAACTCCATAATTCATTCTCACTCAAGCTACCTGCCAACTAAGTCCAAGCCTAACTCTAAGCTAGTGCCCAAAACAAAAGTAGACTAATGGCAGAACCTCCCTTATGGAGGGTGGATCGCCAGAATCGCCACCTGTCGAAATATAATCTAACTCCTCTAAACTAAGAAAATTTCGGCAGCGCTTCCCGTTGGAAAAGTGCCTTTCCAGATTTATATAAGTCTAAATATGAAAAATATAAATAATTTGTAACTCTGGAAAGCCAAATTTTGTCTAACTCCCTGAATTAGTAGAAATTTTGGGCAGCACCCCTTGTAGAAAAGGAGACTTTCGAGATTTATACTAAGTCAGATATACATCAGAAAAATAATCTCTAACTCTTGGAAAGTCAAAACTTGTCTAACTCCCTGATTTATTAAAAATTTGGGCAGCACTCCCTTTACAAAGGGAAACTTCCCACATTTATACTAAGTCAGGTTTGAACTCACAAGACAAACTTGAGTTCAATTTAGATAAGATTTAACTAACTCCTCAGTTTTGCAAAAATTTCGGCAGCGCTCCGTCTAGAAAAGTGTTTTCCCAACATTTATACAAAGCAAGGTCCAAAATTTGAGAATAACTTTGACTTCTCAAAGTCCAATTTTGTCTAACTCTCTGAATTAGTAAAAATTTGGGCAGCACTCCCTCTAGAAAAGGAGACTTTCGAGATTTATACTGAGTCAGATATATGGAAAAGACAAGTTGAACTCTGACAAGTCAAAAATTAACTAACTTTTTGGATTTGTAGAAATTTCGGCAGCGCTTCCCGTAGGAAAGGTAGCTTGCCAAAATTTATACAAAGCCAAATGTAAGAAAGATCTCAGAAAATGTAGAAATTGACCTAAGTAAAAAAAGTTATTACAGAAAATGAAGGAATTCACACGAACTCTTATGGCTCTAGCACGTGGTGAGAAACTAAAGCAACTAACTATAAAGTTGAAACACAAACAAACTAGTCATCCCATTCTATCACATGCAAACCAAACCACGAATATAAGTACTCTCACCATCCCAAGTTCATTTCATATAAATAGTTCATGAATCCTTATACCTTTCTTACATAAGACATAGAGTTGGACCATTCGCCATGGAAACAATGCCCAGCTTGTCTTTATGATATACACGAACAGGTTGAACAACTACTTTATTTCTTCTTTTGGGCAGATGACTAGGCTATTCGCTATGGAAACAATGTCTAGTCGCCCTGAGCTGTTTAATATCCAAAGATTTGATATTTCTCTGACTTTGTTAAAAAGAAAAAACAAATATGGGTAGAGGACTGAACCATTCACAGTAGAAACAATGTTCAGCTTGCCCAAACTATTTTCATTTATACTTTGTATTTTCCCTTTTCTCTTCTTAATGATATGGCTTAATGTTGGACCATTCACAGTAGAAACAATGTCCAGCTGCCAGTTCACATGCAAATATACATAAAGTACTTTCCTTTATACTCAGTTCAATTTATGTGCGTGGTTTTCTGGCTAAACCATTCACCATGGAAACAATGCTTAGCCGTAGACCAAAAATCCCGCCTCAGAATAAACAAGAATTTAAACCCCTTTAATCAGGCGAACCCTCTGAGTTAACTAGGGTAGCCAGACCATTCACAGTAGAAACAATGTCTGGTTCTCTAGAAAACAATCAAACAAACACAGCGACCAGGCCATTCACAATAGAAACAATGCTTGGTCCTTTAAAAAACAGCCAAATAAACATAGCCATGAGTCATTCACAGTAGAAAGAATGCTCAGGCTTTGGTTAACCCTGTCAATCACAAGCAGTCTGCCTTCCTCCCACATTCCCCCAGTTCATCCTTAGTCTACTTTCAGTGAAAACAAAAATGAAACTTAAGCTTCACTCTCACACATTCTTTCCATTCAATCTGATTTAGGTCCTGAAGAGAAAGCAAAAACCATAGGGACAACACATGCATACCGCAATCATAGTACAGGAAGATAGGCAAACATGGGTAGTAGTAGGTTGTACAGATGGAGATGGTATACCTGATGATTCCCTGCCTCTAGAACCTCGCATAGGTTCCGGCAGAGCTCCCACAATCGGTGGGTGGACTCCCCACAAAGTCTTGATGCGGACCTACGAGTTGCAATCCCGCCTGCCGCCTCCCCTCTCGTAACCAGCAGACTAGACCTAGACTCAGAAAGATAGAAAAAGAAAAGTGTGAGACTCTCAGATCCAAGAAGAGGTGCCCTCAGACTCGCAGGAGAGGGCCTTGATATCTCGATTCGTCTGAGGGCCCTGCAATGGCGGCCAAAACATGCAGTTGTCAGTCAACCCAAAGCCAAGCTGCTGAGTCAAACTCTCCTGATGAGCCCTTAATCCGCAGCAATGGCCCCCTTCACCACCACGGTCTGACTACTCCTCTACGCCCCAACATCTCTCCTTGGCCAATCCCTGATGCCAATCTCAACACGCCGTCGTGCTATACTTCCGTGGCGTACAGGCATCAGCATCACAGTACCCTGCTAGAGTAACTAGTATGGAGTGGCTAAGCCGTTAAGGACACTGCAGCACACCAATTTGTAATAAACACAGTGACTGCAGCCGCAGAACGCCAACTGAAGCCGGACTCGGACAACCGAGCACAGCAACGGACCATCCAGGCTGACGCAATGGTGAGAATGTCCAGCTACTTGGGCAGTAGAGGGAGCCACAATTGTGCACAACGTAGCGAGCATGCGACAGTTCACACAGCCGCACCTGCAATGTACACCCAGGCCAAAAGTACCCAGCCTCCTAGTCAAGGTAACAGCCCCTCCCGCTTCACCGCAAAAAGCTTGTGTTCAAGCTGAGCGCCTGGCAAAAAGGGCGCTGTAC